GCATAGCCTCCACGTTCAAGTTGCAAGCAGACAGTTCCGACTCACAACACATCAAGAACCAATGGAGGGACAAATACAGACACTTGCCACAATCCAAAAACATTATACACATTCACCAGTAAATCAAGCATTTCTGAACATCTCAGTGCTCAGAGACAAGAGAGGATTGCAGTTTCCTTCCTACCACAAAGAGAAGAGACTTTCACCTCATGCTTCAGGCCAAAACCTGCCACATAGTAACACCCACCTCCAATGAGGCGGAGGTAGCTGTCCTTGGTCAGAATGGCTTCAGCATGAAATACCAAGACGGGGATCCGCCTGCAGCCACCACCGGTCCACTTGATACATGGATGATCCCTGAAATGACAAGATAGTCAGTATAAGCAACTGCTGAGCCTCATACATGCAGCAGTTACTTACAGTGAGGACACAGCAGTTCTCCATACCTGCCCCTTTGGGCAGGACACAAGCAAATACACCATGTAAAATAACGGAAGGATGGTGAGGAGGATTGTAAACACAGCTAAGTGACTTGCAGCTTGGATGTGGAAAAATACATGTAACATTCTAATTGTTGTCTATCCTTGTGTGTTTGACTAGTAGGACATCTGTGGTCAGATAACACAGGATCTAATAGACTTCAAGGCACCCTACTGAACACACCTGAAATTCCTGTCCTGCTGTGGGAAAGGTCAAAGCATGGTGGTAAGCTACATCTGCAAGAAACCCTGAAAAACAGGTGTGAACAGCAGCTTCAAGTGACTCTCTAGCAAGGACCAAGCTCCACAGTGCCTGTATCCCTGCTTGCGTGCCTCTGCCCAGGTGCTGCTTTGGGGATCCCAGTTAGCAAGGTAACGAAAATAAATTTACTCTCTGCACTTCAGCCATGATTTCATGGTTGCTCCCAAGCCCTGCCTGTGCTGACTTGCATACCCACACACACACTAGGCATCTGTAGTGGTTCCAGGTCCCACCCTAGCTGGATACCAGGTACCCACCAAAGCCACTCTATCACTTCCCTCTGCAACTGGGCAGGTGAGGAAAAAATATAATGACAGGCTCATGAGTAGAGAGAAGGGCATGGAGAGATCACTCACCAATTACCATCATAGGCAAAACAGACTCAATCTGGGGAAATTAGCTGACCTTACTACCAATCAAAATCAGAGCAGGATAATGAGAAGTAAAACAAATCTTAAAAACACCTTCCTCACCATCCTCCCCCCTTCCCAGGCTTAACTTCATTCACAATTCTCTACTTCCTTCCCCACAGTGGCAAAGGGAGACAGTGAATGGGGGTTACAGTCAGTTCATCACACATTGTTTCTGCCGCTGCTCAGGGAGAGGAGTCCATACCCTGCTCCAACATGGAGTCCCTCCCACAGGAGGTAGTCCTCCAAAAACTTCTCCAGTGAGTCCTTCCCACAGGCTACAGTTCTTCATGAACTGCTCCAGCATAGATCCCTTTCCACAAGGTGCAGTCCTTCAAAAACAGGCTGCTCCAGCGCAGGGTTGCACGGAGTCACAAGTCCTGTCAGTAAACCTGCTCCAGCATGGGCTCCTCTCTCCAAGAGTCCACAGGTCCCTCCCAGGAGCCTATTCCAGCACAAGCCTTCCACAGGGTCACAACTTTCTTTTGGGCATCCACCTGCTCTGGTGTGGGTCTCCTCCAATGACAGCCTGCCACACTGCAGTCTTCACCATAGGCTGCAGGGGAATCTCTGCTCCAGTGCCTGAAGCACCTCCTCCCCCTCTTTCTTCACTGACCTTAGTGCCTGCAGAGCTGTTCCTCTCACATATTCTCACTCTTCTCTGAGCACAATTACCTCTGCACAATAACTTTTTCTCTGTTATCACAGAGGCACTACTACCATCACTGATGGGCTCAGCCTTGGCCAGCACCAGGTCCATCTTGGAGCTGGCTGGCAATGGCTCTGTCAGACATGGAAGAAGCTTCCAGCAGCTTCCCACAGAAGCCACCCTGTAGCTCCCCAGCTAACCTGGCCATGCAAACTCAATACAGCATCCTTGGTACTCAGCTATAAAGGGAATCTTCCAGATCACCCTCTTTTTGGGTTGTTCTTGCCAGCCTGAGTTCTGTTTAATTCGTATTTATTTTACTGAGTATAATTTGGGAGAAATCTCATGAGCTTTCATAGCTACAGTTCTCTAAATGTATAGCCTGAAAACAGCATCTATAATTCAGGATAAACCACAATTGCTGGTATCCACACAACCGGCCCTTGCAATGCAGGTTTCAGCCTCCAATTTCAGAACTGCAAATCAGTGCAGTCTGCCCGGTTGTAATCCTGGACTCTGAAGTGCACAGAAAGGCACTAATGCAGAGTTTGAGAGACTAGAACAAGCTTGGCTCAACACAATGGATAAACTTGTGTGTTCTTCCCTTTTAATTCCTGTCAGATACAGTGGAACACAAGTCCAGAATTCAAGAACAACGTCCCCAGTCCGCCACTCAAGCCACAGGCTCTGGGATACGGTCATCAGTTCTGTGCAAAACAAACAAGACAGCATTGGGAACTATCGTCTCCTCAGAGGAATTAAGAACACATCAAAGAAATTAAGACCTGTCACATGAAATTCTAAGATAACCCAAAGGAAACCTGTCAACCTCCCTAAGCAAATAAAATAGGCTGCTTATTATTCACTGCACAAGGAGATTAAGAAAAAGTTAACAAAAAACCAGAGGCTGAGGGGTTGGAGAGACATCTTTATCTACACTAACAAGAAGAAATACAAAGACTGGCAGAGATACACAGAAGCATTTGTCTAAATAATGTGCAAGACCATTGTCTGCGAAAGGTTTGGAGAACCTAGAGAAGACAAAACACTTCCAACACTTAAAACACATGAACAGAGATAAAAGGGCAATTTTCCGATGGTGGTGGTGCATCTCCACCCCACCTCTTCCTAGAGCTAGGACAAGGGCTCTTAAATGTAGCCTTGGTCTCTTAACCAAGTTATTACCATTATCACCCAGACAAATTAACTTCATAGCACTCCCATGTGCTTCCACTACCTCTAAAATATAGTTAAAAAGACCCCAAAACCTACTACTAGGGTGTAATTAGCTGTTAAGACTGGAAGGGACCCAAGAAGCTTCCAGAATTTACACTACAAGCCAGAGCCTTATGTAAGTGGGAAATGAGCTGAGGCAAAAGGACAGGAGTTTATATTAAGCCTGTCCTGAGGATTTGTAGCAAGGCTCAATCCTCCCACTGACAGTCATTCATTTCTAGCATAACCCTTGGCCACTTGATGCAGACACACTTTTGAAGTTACATTCTAGGTGAAGTCAGTTCTGGACCCTTCCAGCCATGAGGATCTAGCAAGTCCAAGTCAACCACTTGGTATGAACTGAAATTCCTCTAAATGCCTTAAGTTGCTGCAGTTTGCAACTGGGCACTCAGGCACAACGTGCACCCAAAAGAAAACTAACAGGACATGTTACAGATGAAAGAGAAAAGGGATGCCACTCTGGCAAAGAATAAGGGAGCAACTTCTTCATAAGCAAAGATAAAAGAGGTTACTAAACAAAGCTGGAACAAACATAATTACTTATACTAGTAAGTAACATGAACTCTAGCAGTTGAGTTCTCACAAGACAGTTTCTTAAAAGGACATAAAACATTGTATACCATTCTACTGTACAGATTTCTATTTTCTGCAGCAGTAAAGCTAAACCAAAACAAAACAATAAAAAAGGACATAATCAAAATAGTTCCCAGCTTACAAACATAACAGAAAGAAATCAATGAAACTGCAGACTTCAGAGCAGCCAAGGAAAAGCTGTACGTCCAACCCTGGTGAATATAGTGGTCTTTTAGGCTGCAAATGTAGACAGCCTGCCTAAAGGTTTGAGGCCCAAACCAACCATCATCCGCTTTATAGGTAGGAGGGTAAGAAATGCATCTGCCTTTTCAGATTAGTACAAATCCCGCAGGAAGCACAGACACATAAAACAGTTCAAAGGGGTTTTCCCTACTTACTCCAGTCCATCTATAGCATCTTCCTCCTCCTCCTCTGAGGATGAGCCAGTTTCCTCCAGATCTTTAGCCATCCCAACTGGCATTTCCTCTGGGAGTTTTCATACAGCCCAGTCTCAGTAACCTCCAAAACTCCTTCCTGGAGATTCAAGGGCTCTTGCAAGAGTGGTCACCTGCAAAAAAGAATTAAAAGCACAGCTGAGCAGGGCAGCGAGAGAAACGAGATAACTCCCACCTCCTACCAGTACATATTTCTCACAGGACAATCAGCGAGCGTATTACAGGCTGTAAATCACCTCCTAGCCAGGAGAACATATGAAGAAGCATCACCGTCTAACAGATTACTCCCCAGCTGCCCGTGAGAGCGCCTAGAGCGCGTAGTGGTGAAGCACGTCCCGTCCCGTCCCGTCCTGTCCCGTCCCGTCCTGTCCTGTCCCGTCCCTGCCTTGCCCTGCCCTGCCCTGCCTCTGGCCGCAGACCCGCGCCAGACCGGCCCGGCCCAACGGGAAACGCCCGCCGAGACCACCCCTCCGCCCGGGGCCAGCCGGACACCGTAACGCCTCCACCGGCCCAGGAGCGGCCCTCCGGCCCCAGAGGCGGCTGCGGCCCGGCCTACCCCGCGCCAGGCCGAGCACGGCGACCTCCGGCGACCCCAGAAGCAGCAAGAACGACGGGGACCCGCCCGGCAGCAAGCCGCTGCGCTCGCTGTACCTGCCCCGCGCGGCCGGACCGGACACACCCAACAGCCCCGGCCCCTCCCGCCGCTTCCCCGTTACTACAACAACCGACGGGCGGCGGCCCCGCCCCGGCGCGCAGGCGCCCCCCGTCGCCGCACTGCGCAGGCGCGCTCACCGCCCCCCTGCCTCCTTCCGCGAGGGGGGCGGGGCCGGGCCCGGGATGGAGGTGGGGCCACCTCCCTCGCTACGAGAGATCCGATTGGCGGGGGTGACCCTTACGTCACGTGGCGCGCGCGTGGAGCGGAGCGCAGCGGCCAATCGCAGTGCCGGGCGGTGTCGCGCGCGGGGCGCTGCGGGAGCGCCGTCGGTAACGGGCCGAGTCTGAGCCGCGTCCGAGCCGCGGGAGGATGAGCCGGTTCCTGAACGTGCTGCGCAGCTGGCTCGTCATGGTATCCGTCATCGCCGCCGGGAACACCCTGCAGAGCTTCCGCGATCACGGCTTCCTCTCGGAGAAGCTGTACACCGCCAGCCCCGGCCTCGGTAAGGGTCGCGCCGGCTGCCCCGGCGCCTGGAGCTCTCCTTCCAGCCATGGGCTTTGGGCTCTCCTCCGGTCCCACCTGTGGGGCCCGGGAGCCGCCTACTGCGCCGCGCCGGCAGGAGTGGGGGTGACAGGCGGGGCCATGCGTGGTTTCCATGCGCTCCTTCTTTCCTTTGCGCAGTGAACGGGCTCCAGGCTCGGACCTTCGGCGTCTGGACTCTGCTGTCGTCTGTGATCCGCTGCCTTTGCGCCATTGACATCCGCAACAGGACGTACGTAAAGCAACGCCCGATTGGTTTGCTTACTAGTCACAGCCTGAGCAGTTAGCTTAGAGGGCAGCGCGGAAGAGGTGGGAAATCAGAAGCTATTCCCGAACGTCCTGTAGCGTTGACAGCCTTCCCCTGAAAAAGCTCAAACAGCAGTGCAGGATTTGTGTGATGGCAGCTGCTCCCTTCTGCCTCTGTGGGGACAGCCTGTGCATTTGATTTCTGTTCTTAGCTCAGGCAGAAATCGGTAGATCTGAGAGCTTCTTACTCTCACAAGTTTCTGAGCTCCAGCTTGAAAGCATTTTCTGATGATGTTTCTGTTCTGTTGATGAAGCAATTGCTAATGCTGATGCTCAATACTTTTTGTACTATGACAGCTCAGCTGAGGACTGTGGCAGGTTGAGGCGCCCCCTTGCAGTGGCCTTAACCCACTGCCTTCTTCCCTACACTCTTATCTGGGGCGGAGGACAAGGCCTGAGGTGCAGCCTGGTGCTGAGGTGGGAGGCAGGCCATTTCTCTCTCTGCTAACAGAAACGTTTCTGAGAGGGATTTCCAAGCAGGCTGACTCAGGGTCTGTGCTAGGCAAAGCCTTTACTGGAGTTGCTAGAACACACTCTTTTGTCGCTGCTTCCCTCAGCTCCACAGCAGAAGTCACTGTTCACCTGGCAGCACATCCTTGGATTGCCTAGGCTTGTCTGAGGTAGGGAGGTGCAGGGATTCAATTATGTGTTTTTAGGGCGTGGTGGCAATGCCAAATACCATTAAGTCGGTTGTTCCTTTGAGGGATTTGATCTTGCATCTCTTGGACCTGCTCCCTTTCATCAGCTGTGGGCCCTAGAGCATAGCAGAGCACAGGTGGGAAGACATGTTGGTGATGCAGCCTGGAGTCAGCCAAGTCCTGTCACCCCAGTTCTCTGCTCACCCTGTTCCCACCCTCATTTTATGGTTGCACATACTTCTCACTTCACTAGTGCCCTATTCTTGCTCTCCGCTCTTCACCTGCCTTCAGGCCAGATAATGCCTGTGACTTTCAATGCACCATTGAACATTTGACCCCATTCTCCCCTCTGCTGTTGCCCAGGGAGTTTTTGCACCTCGCTAGGCAAGGGACCAAGTGTTCTCTGTGCTGACAGTGACGGCAGAGGGGACAGCATGCAGGTTTGCCTCTTTTCCACGCAGCCATACTCATGCCCATAGTATGATATGATAACCTGCTTTCTTCTGCTCTCCAACAGCCTTTATCACATCACGCTCTTTACCTTCTTTTTGGCCCTTGCTCACTTCCTCTCCGAGGTCTTCATTTACCACACTGCAGCCTTGACTATTGGAGTTATGGCACCCCTCATGGTAGCAAGTAAGTATTGCTCTGTATCCTCCCCCCACAAACTCTCCTTGGAGCTATGATCCCCCAGAAAAACTCCCCATTCAGCTACAGGCTACGGGCAGGGATGGGATTGTGGGAGAGAATGCTTCATCTCTTGTCCAGCATTTTCTACACAACTCATCCTGTATCTCCATCACAGGTTTCTCTATTATGGGGATGCTGATTGGGCTGCAGTACCTGGAGGTAGAAGCACTATCACAAAACAAGAAGAAAAACTGAAGATGAGGGCTCTGTATAGGTCAGCGTAATCCCCGGTCTTCACTGCCAGACTTCCACTGTCCTGAACTTCTCCAGGACACCAGTCCCAGTGGTGGATCAGTGTTGGACTCTGTCAATCACTGTTCATTACCAAGTCTTTTTTTCTTGTCCAGGCAACATTTCAACTGACTGATGTCAAAGACCCAGAGGAGTTTGTGTCAAGCTTGTGGGGGGCACTTGATGACTGACTCCCTGGAGTCAGGGCAAAGTCTCAGGTGTGCCCAGTGCACTAAGGACTTCTCTCCCAGTGTAACTGTAGGGAGAAGGTGCAGGGCTATCCAGGATTCGATGAACACTTTGGAGCAGAAAGAGAGAATAGGTGCTACCCCTGGCACTGCTGTGTAACTTGCATGTGTGTGTTCATCAGGGGCCATTTCTAATAAATGACAGAAAACTGCAGCAGTTTGTCTCTCTGCTACACAGAAGTGGGTAGAGGATCAGAGCCGACAGCAGCTTCTACTGTATGTTGCAGGATACATCATCTCTCTTTACAGCAAACCTACCTTTGCCTGACTCCTTCCCACAAAGTTCCAGGTCTGACTGCTCACATCACACACGTGAAGAGGGTTGTTGCAGCTCTCCCTTCCGCAGCATGCTGGTGATAGCAAATTTGAACTGTATGCATCTGTGAGCAAGGACTGAACTACCTGTGTAGTGAACTATAACTGTAGAAGATGGAGAAAACAGGAACAGGTTGCTTAGACCTAGACAAAATAATGACCAAAACAGTGGGCTGCACACAGAAAGTAGGCAAGAACCAGCAGGAACTCCTAGCTGGGAAGACAATTCACATGCAGAAGAAAGAGAGGAAAAACACAGAAGGGAAGAAAAGAGCACAGCAGTAGCACTGGGCAGAAAAATTATTTTTCCATTCTGCAAAACATTTCAGCCTATTAAAAGAGCTACATGTAGATTGTTTCAAATATTTAATATGAATCTGTCAGGTTTCATTGTACGCTTCCAATGTTTTTACATTAAAACTTCTATTTAAAATCATTCTAAACCTCCATCCTCAATCCCAAACTACCAAAGATAGGACTTTAATCACAGAATATGCTGAATTGGAAGGGACGTATCAGGATCATCAAGTCGAACACCTGGCCTTGGGCAGGACACCCCAAGAATCACACCATATGCCTGATAGCATTGTCCAAACACTTCTTGAACTCAGGCTGTATCAAAATGCAATGTATCAAAAGACTGTTATAATTTCACCCAAAAAATATTTTGTCAAAAATGGTATGTCAGAGAGGAGTATTTTTAACTGTTCCACCTCAGTGCAGTTTTTGTCCCCTCCCTCAAATGATAAATTAATAACTGCGTGATTTAAGGAGTATAAGGACACTTGATGTCTCCACCAGGAGTGGGATGCTGCAAATGAAGGAGAAGTGATGTAAGGATCTGCATTTATGTTTAGAAGATAAACAGCATACAGATGGGTAGTGTCTATAAGACACAAATGCTGGTAAGAGGGCAGCTTCTACACTGGGGCAAATCTGGATTCCCATCATACCCCTCTCTATGGCTGTGAAGAGCAACACAGCCTTGGCTAGTTTTCTTAATATAACACTTCACAAAAGTTTTTATGTACTGTTGAAATATGCAAAAGGCACTTTTTTATTAAGATGGAAGACAGTCAAACTTGTGGTTTGACTCACTTCTGTTACTAATGTAGTGATGAGCTAGGCTTAGGTTGCAGAACTAGTCTTGCCCCAGGTAGAAGGAGGCATATTGGTATCTCTCAATTACTCCTAATATATAGGGACATCAGGCCAACCCCAGTGAATTCTGAGCAGAGGTTTATCCAGACTAAGAGTGCTTCATCTGGGAAAGCCAAATAATAAAAACAGAGCTGGCAGTGGCTGATGCACTCCTTTTCACTTGCTGGTGATGTACTGAGGCCTCCACCATCACCTGTGCAACACAGAGGATCACAGGCACCGAGGCAGAGCAATCCCTCTTCCCGAGAGCCAGCTGAAAGCTCTTCCAGGTCTACTCACAAAGTGTGGTCCAGCTTCTGCATTTCATGTCCCAGTTTGCCTGTGAGAGGAGGCACAGCCACAAGCAACGTGCCACCCTCATGTGCTCAGGGCTAGCCCGGTATTGTGGCTTTTCTCAGCACATGTGCTTTTTCCAAGCATACGTGGTGGGATGGGGTGGGACACAGTGGGTTTTCCCAATGTTTTCTCCCAAGCAGCAGTCTCTAAAATAGCAAGATGCAAAGGTATAACTGAAGAGAGCAACCCCCTTCTTGTTTTGCTCTTTCACATTCTCCACAAGCAGTTCACTGGGCTTCCTGATGCTTCCTCCCGTCCATGGGGCACATGTCACAGGAAGGTGGTGCAGGTAGCAAAGATGGGAATGAGGAGGGCTGCATCTCCCAGCTCTGCCACCCCTCCATTTCACAGCCTTGATTCCTCAAGAACTATGGGATTAGTGTAAGCTTCTGGCAACACTTTCTGCAAGTCAGACAGAAAAAACAATATGGTTAGGATCCTGGGTGGCCAGACCCAGGCTTCAGAGACATCAGCTGGCCAGAGCCTGCCTAATTTTTAACTCCCTGCTAGTGTGCAGAAATCCCCAAAGAAGAATCACCATCCTCAGAGAATGCAACTGATTCCCTCTTCCTTTTCCAGATGCTTTGACTGCCCAAACAAGGGTCACTGGGGCAGCAGGGCAGTGCAAGGGTCCCACTTCCGTTAAGCTACTTGCTGTAGTCCTCAAAGCACTGCTATTACACTGTAGGGCTGATACCTCCAGTGGTACCAGCCTCACACCCAGCTCACCAACAACACTTCACTGTGACACAAGCTCAGCCTCAAAGCAGTGAATTGCAGAGCCAATTCCCTGGGCAAGGGAAGGCAGTGGGAACTCCTTCATGCCATGAGGCAGCACAGTGTCTGTGCAAACACCAGAGAGAACCCGCATCCTGTGCATCCTCAGGAGGCTCAGCACAACAAATAGCTCCTCTGTGTCCTTCCTCTGGCATGTGTGAGGCCTCAACTCCCAGACACATTGCTGGTTTGCTCATCCTCAAGTCTTTTTGTCCCCACTCACACTGCCCATTCAGGGCTGGCACCCTCGGTCCTGCTTCTTCCCTATCCCCAGCTTGGATTTACAGCTGAGATAATTCCACAGAGTTATGCCTTCTTCGATGTTCCTTACTCATATCTTAGACAGCAAACATACACAAGTTTTTTTTCTTCATAAATCCTGTAGAAGAACTAGCCTGATTACTCAAAACCTTAAGATGGAGGGAGCTGTAGTTATTTCCCAGAGGAAAAGCAAGGAAAACAAAGACTGCTGCCCAATTACCACCACTTTCGCAATTCCAGTTCAGCCTTCCTGGCTGGAGCTTGATGAGCTCTTCTTCTGAGCCCTTCTAGGGTATGTTAGGATTAAACCCAAGACTTCTCCCAGGGGATTTCTGATACCTCTCCAAGTTCTGATTCTGCCCAGGTGTCACCAAGTCAGAAGACGGCATGCAGGCTTGTAAGGGCGAATGTGGAGCTTCCTGCAGCCTGGGCTCTGAGTTTACTCACTGTGGGGTAAGACTGACAACTGAGGCAGAAGTCAGAGCTGCATGAGAAAGAGAATCACATCGCCAGTGCAGTTCAAGAGAAGTCCAGGCAGCATGGAAGCAAGAGATATGAAACAGTGTCATTTTGAGTAGGCTCTTACACAAACTGCAGGTGAAAAAGTTTTATAGAGGTCAGCAGCAATATCCCAAAGCAGAGGAGTGAGATCAGGAAAGGTTCAAAGACATGTCTGGAAGCGAAAGCTGGGAAGCAAAAGCCAGGAAGTGCAAAGAGGTAACTTCTACAAGCAGGAGGGGTAGGGGAATGCATGCTGTAATGCTACACATAGGAATAAGGCGAAAACTGCATTTAGACTTGGGAAACTCCACTAGAATGCACTATGGAAGCACTTTAGCAACTCTGAACAGGCTCCCCAAGAACCTCTGGTGTCCGAGCACCACTCACCTGCTGTGGACCTACAGGAGCAGAGTTTTAGGAGATCAGCCAGTCTGCAAGGCTCCATCACCTTAGGAAAGGAAGACTGCTCTCATAGCAGGCAGTCACAGTACTGGAAAAGGGCATAGAGATGGCCTGCCTATGGCTTTGGGACAGTTGGAAAAGGCTATTTGCCACACAGTAAACATGAAAGGGAGGAGGGAAGTTTGGAAAGCAGAGGATGGGTACATTGTTTGTGCCTGCTACACAAAATTCCAGCATTATTTCATTGGCAGTATTTCACTAGAGACTGAGCATGGTACAGCTTCCGAGGGAATCCAGTAAGCTACTGAGGGTGGATGCTTGTCCTAATGACCTAAGCCAGCCTCTAAATCGCACTGGCTTTGGAAGGAAAAGCAACATGCTTTTGGGTATTCCACTGCAATCCATCAGATGCATCTTTGCATCCAGGCAAACATACAACCACCAAAAAAGGTATTTGGCACTGGTCGAGTCCTGACTTATCCTCTGTTATCAAGAATATGTTTCTCACACACACAAAAATCAATTTATCTACTACTCTATTAGATGGGCAGATGGGAGTCTCAAGTGCCCTGAACACACATTAATCAAATTTGCAAGTTTTAAAGAGGCCTAGCAAAGCCCAGTCTGAACAAAAAGACAGTCCTGCCATTTTAGAATCCTGCACTCTAAATGATAGCTGCTTTCCTAAAAGCCCTCAAAACTTAAAAGTATTTCCAAACAAACATAGCCTAAGACTTTTCTTGAACAATTCAATCCTAAGTCAAAAGAAACCAAAGCTTAAAAGTATTTCCAAGCAAACATAGCCTGACACTTGAACAATTCAATCCTAAATCAAAACAAACTGAGGCAGATCAGCAAAGGTGTTTTTTCAAAATGCAAAGAAACAATGACAGAAGGTTTGCATGGATGCTGGAAACCAGGAGGAAATGAGCCCAGGCAGTACACAGTATATTAATGAGTATAATGTGCATGCTGAATCAACTGACACTACTACGAAACCTTAAGGCACAATGTTGGAATCGCTTCAGATGCACTTACAACAAAGGTAGAACACAAAGAGTCTCATTGTCATGTAAAATAAGCGCTCGATCCAAGTGTCCTGAGATTGGAAAGCTAACCAGATGGAGCTCTGGGAAAACCGAGGTAGACAAAAGTGGGAGGATTGCTGGGACCATACTACAGTTTTATTAATAGAGGATTACACAATGCCATTAGGCTAATTTAATCTACTAACTGCAACATCTGTTAAATTATAACCATTAGCAGATGAGGGCATTGATAGAAGACAAACTGCTACACAGCCAATGGTACAGTGCTTCAGTGGGAAGTGTGAGGATTGCACAACTCTACAGCTCTGCATGATCTGGAAGCTCACTGAGCTGACTCTTAAATGTCACTCTT